CATACACTGACTACATCTGTGGCAAGAGGCAATGGAGAAGCTCAATATCTTCAGCCAAAACAAGGCCAGGAGCTGACTGTGGAACAGACCATTAACTGCTCATATACAAGTTCAAGTTCAAGTTGAAGACAATTAAAACAACTCCACAAGAGCCAAAATATGACCTTGATTATATCCCTCCTGAATTTAAAGACCATCTAAAGAATAGATTTGATGCACTGAAAAGCAATGACTGAAAACCAGAAGAATTGTGGGATGACATCAAGAACATCATCCATGAAGAAAGCAGAAGGTCATTAAAAAAACAGGAAAGGAAGAAAAGACCAAAGTGGATGTCAGAGGAGACTCTGAAACTTGCCCTAGAATGGACAGTAGCTAAAGCAAATGGGAGAATCGAAAGGATAAAAGAGCTGAACTGAAAATTTCTAAGAGCAGCTCGAGAAGACAAAGTCAATTATTATAATGAAATATGCCAAGAACTGGAGTTAGAAAACCAAAAGGGAAGAACACGCTTGGGATTTCTCAAGCTTAAAGAACTAAGGAAAAAAAATTAAGCCTTGAATTGCAATATTGAAAGATTCCATGGGCAATATGTTGAATGATGCAGGAACATCCAAAGAAGATGGATGGAATACAGAGAGTCACTATACCAAAAAGAATTGGTAATTGATCATCCATTTCAGGAGGTAGCATATGATCAAGAACCAATGGTACTGAAGGAAGAAGTCAAAGCTGCACTTAAGGAATTGGTGAAAAACAAGGCTCCAGGAATTGATGGAATACCCACTGAAATGTTTCAAAAAATGGATGCTCCACTAGAGGCACTCCCTCGGCTATGCCAAGAGATTTGGAAGACAGCTACCTGGCCACCTGACTGGAAGAGATCCATATGTGTACCCATTCCAAAGAAAGGTGATCCCACAGAATGTGGAAACAATATCATTTATATTACACAGAAGTAAAATCATACTGAAGATAATTCAAAAATGGTTGCAACAGTATGTTGATGGAGAACTTCCAGAAATGCAAGCTGGATTCAGGAGGGGCTGTGGAGCGTGGAATATCATGCCTGATGTCAGATGGATATTGGCTCGAAGCAAAGAATATAGAAATATGTTTACTTGTATTTTATTTAGTTTGCAAAGGCATTTGATTGTGTGGATCATAACAAATTATGAGTAACTTTAAGAAGAATGGGAATTCCAGAACACTTAATTGTGCTCATGAGGAACCTGTACATAGTTCAGGAGGCTGTCATTCGAACACAACAAGGGGATAGTGCATGGTTTAAAATCAGGAAGGGAGTGCATCAGGGTTGTATCCTTTCACCAAACTTATTCAACGTGTATGCTGAGCAAATAATCTGAGAAGCTGGACAGTATGAAGAGGAACGTGGCATCAGGATTGGAAGAAGACTTGTTAATAACCTGCAATATGCAGACGACATAACTTTGCTTGCTGAAAGTGAGAATGATGTAGAGCACTTACTGATGAAGAGTAGAGACTACAGTCCACAGTATGGATTACACCCAAACATAAAGAAAACAAAAATCCTCACAACTGGACCAATAAGCAGCATCACGATAGATGGAGAAAAGATTGAAGTTGTCAAAGACTTCATGTTACTTGGTTCTACAATCAACACCAATGGAAGCAGCAGTCAGGACATCAAAAGATGTATTGCCCTGGGCAAATCTGCTGCAAAAGACCTCTTTCAAGTGCTGAAGAGCAAAGATATCTCCTTGAAGACTAGGATGCACCTAATCCAAGCCATGATATTTTCAATTGCCTCATGTGCACGTGAGAGCTGGATAATGAATATGGAAGACAGAAGAAGAGTTGATGTTTTTGAGTTGTGGTGTTGGCCAAGAATGCTGATAGTACTGTGGACTGCTAAAAGGACTAACAGATCTGTTCTGGAAGAAGTGCAGCTGGAATGCTCCTTG